TATATATATATATAATATTTTAATTTTTTGTTTGAAAAGAAAACGAAATAAAACTGAAAAAGTCTACGTGAGATCTATTATAATATTTGATGGATTTACATCCACATCACACCTAGTATTTAGCCTAACTTTCTTACCCAACAAAAAAATATTATTATTTTCTCTCCTTACAAAAAGAAGTTGGTCAAACCCCATGTCTTTTGGACCTTTGACTCACTATGGCATGCCCATGAAATTAGCTTGGATATTGTTTACGTACCATACATATATATATATATATATATGAAATGTGAAGAACTAAAATACTAAATTCAAGAACAAAAAAAAATTAAATAAAAGAATCAAATGCATTCAAAAGGACGACGAAACTAAAAGCGTGAGAAGTTGGAAATTGACCGGATTAGAAAATTAATTGAAATCACTGTTTACTTTTTTCCAAGTAAATAACAAACAAAAACAAAGCTGACTAAAATCCAAACGTTGACTTTTGAACATTTTATGTTTGCACGCAATTCCAATAGGTTTATTTTATTTCTTGGCATATTAAGCATTAATATTTGCGTTTCATAATTTACATCTGTTAATCATATCTAATCTTTTTTTTTTGGGTAAAATAATCATATATAATCTTATTTTCTCAAGTTCAATTCTTTGTGCCATATATATTCTTCTCGCTATCATTAACCGTATATAATATGAAAAGTCTTTTTTGTTGTCTCTGCCTATACCTAACTGTTTCAAAAAAATTTATTTAAATTCATATACATGTTTCACATTTTGTCTTTTAGAATACTGCTTACCAACAACAAATTGGAAATTGTGTTAGTAATCCTTTCAATTATTTAACGTTTTTCATGTTTTTTTTAATTAAGATAACCTTTTTCCCCCGACTTTACAACAGCATTTTGTAATATGCAATTAATTTTATATATAGAGTTGATTTAAGTAACAAATTTGCGATATTGTACATAATAATGACAATACGAGGCCCAATCAGAGATTTTCATAAGCTAATGTCTCCAATTCGGCCCATCAGTAATGATGAGTTTGTGGAATAGACATTATATATATATATATATACTTATACTAAGAATTCGATATATATATCCACTTGGTAAAAGTTGAATTACGCTCTCTCTCTACGAAAAAAAAAGAATTTGAAGAATCCACAATAAGCTTGCATGCATATTTATACTTTAATACATGCAAGTTTCGTAAACTCTACATATCTCTAGACGTAATACTAAATAATGATATATTACTTATTATATGGTCCGCCTATATTTTTCTTATTCTAATTCAAATCCATAATCGTCCTCCCTTCTAATTATAAGGGAATTTAAAAACATAATTATACTAATTATTAAGAAAATCATATATCATAATTATTACGTGTCGAAAAATACTGCCAATATATGCAATAAATACAGTTTTATATATACGTTATATCCACAATATCACATCCAAGAGTCTATTCACTTCCATGTTTATTGTTATATCAAAACTCTAGCTTGGCACATGCATGCTACAAAACTGCGCACAACATTATCTTATATTAAACAAAGTCCAAATTTACAAAATCGACATACATATATACATATATGCCGTTATTAGAAGCAAAATTGTATATATATATTTTTTTAATTAACATGTTTTTTTTTTTCATAATACTTGACTGTATTATTAGCGTTCGCTGTATCCCTGGACGACCGATCTAAGTTCATCCCAACTTCCTTCATCTGCGATGAAATAATCTCCGCCGTTCATGTTCCAAACATGTGGGAAGTTGTTGTCGTTACAAGAAAACGGCGGCGCTGGAACGGGGGGATGTTGAAGATCCACGTGGCAACGGTTTTGTTGTGGTTCATGTAACTCGTATGGCAAGTGATCTCCGGCGGCATGGCGGCGGCGGCTGCTGTGGTCGGAATCTAAGCTGCTGGTGTTGGAACAAGAATCGGTTAAGCTGATAACCGGTTTTTGGTTCGGTATGAAGATTGGTTGTCTCTGTCGTGTGGTTCTTTTGAAGATTCTGCACAGTGTCCATACCTCCTTCACAAACAAAATCACGACACGTTACTTTAAATTAATTACGATATATATGCAACTCAAGTGAAAAAAAAACTAAAATTAATTTCGTGACGTATGCATGACGTTTTCGGTATGTGGTATTTATTGACCAAATTCATGTTAGGAAAATTCTAAGGACGTGCAAAACATGGTTGGCCCGAATGATATTTCCTCGATTTCAATTTATTTATTTATATATATATACATATATCATAAAACAATGCCATTTTATCGATAGACCATATAACCAAATGGTCCTAACTATTTATTGAGTCTTGTAATGTTTCAAATCGAGTTGACCCAAAGGTCGGTCCACAACAATAACTATCTCCCCATCCGTACCATAGATTTATATTCTACAATAAAATTACAGTACTTGTGTACGTACGAAAAATATTTGTTTCCTTTTCAGATGGACGTTTCGATATTTGGTTCGGAAATTATATTCGATTCGGTTCTTTCGATTTTATAAAGGTTATAAACATATATTGTAAAAAATGAACTTACAGCTTGTTGGGGTGAGTTATCATCGGTTGAACCGGATTTGGCATTGGTAGGGAGACGAAATTCGTGCATCATCCAATCGGTTTTGGAGCCCTTACCGGCCGAACCAAGGTAGTAAACCAGAGATTTCTTGAGACCGATGCAATCGTGGTTATCGGAGTAGACTGGTTTGTCAATACCGGTGGCTTTCCAAAAACCGGAACCGGTTACACGGTTCGGTCTTATGCTGTTTCTGTACTTCCTTCCTCTCATGCAGTAGAAGTACCATTCCTTTTCCCCAACGCTGTTCACTTCTGCATTCACATGCACCGACCGTAACATCTTTAGTTCTTTATATTATATATATATATATATATATATATATATATATATTGCTTTCATATGAAAATCAACATATAGAAATATCAAATCTACAAGCCAAAACTAACCTATGGATCGTTACTTTGGCCCTTGGATTTGGCATCGTGATGTGGTTTGACCATACACTAATGTTTTATTTGTATAAATAAAATATTATATATACTAAATATCATACTTTGATTTATGAATATAACCACCCACATATATATATATATCTACACACAAAAAAAAGACAATACATATGCATATTAAGCCTCTCTATTAAACCCTAAAAATGGTTCTGTTGGCATATATATATAGTCTGATCCATGGAATTAATGGGTAATTTTGTTTTCTTTTTTATAAAAAGGTTAATTAGCACTCAATTACTATCATTTCCATTTAGCAACAAATAAAATAAAAAACTAAAATGAAATGAAATTAAAGAGGCTACTTACTGGGGAGATCCCAAGGGTCGAACTTGTAGATATCGATGTGTTTGATAAGTTCGAATCTGATGGGTTTGTTCTCAATCTTCCTGCGGAGATAAAACCCTACGAGTTCCTCGTCCGTCGGGTGAAACCTGAACCCTGGGAGCGTGTCTCCATCCTCGACACCCATCTCTCACATATACATACAGATTTTACGCGTGTATGTATATATGTATCTATCTCCACACCCCCGGAAGTTTCTCTATATATAGATATCATATATCTTATAGATATATGTATATATGAATATACAATTCGTCCGCCATGTTGTTCTGGGTCAATTAAACATGACTTTGACTATTACACAAAACATTTTTTAACAAGGCCCTAAAAAGTTACACATATATATATATATATATATATATATATATATATACACACACGCGTGTGCGCGTGTGTGTGTCTTGCGTCTAGGGTTTATCTTTCACAAAGTAAGTATCGTATATATTAATTAATCTACCAACGGTTGTGTTGAATTTCAATACATTGTAGTATTAGATATATATATATGAATGGTATTGAACCAAAGCAAGCAACGAATAGTTTTTTTAAATAATTAATTATGACGTAATATATAGGGATGAACCCTAATTGTAGATGCATACCATTTTCCAATTCGGGAATGATGTATTAAATGCATTTAGTTGAACGTTGTATAGGGAGTTATTGCGAAGATAAATATCTCACCTTGGAATATGAAAAGAGATATATTACACAAATTCCTTGTGGAAAAAAAAATGCAAAAAAGCGCCAAATAAAACTATCGAAAATTAGATAATTCTTATAGATTTTAACCTTTTTTTGGTCCAAAGATATGTATATATTTCTTTTATATTATGTAAAAAGTCGTAAACATGCGCAAGAAGTCTAAGCAAAAGGCACAAATTCTATGTTGATGATGAAACGCAATGATGTGTACGTGTAGATGCGTACGTAGCTCAGCTTCTCTGCTAATTTAACTATTAATTTATTATTAAAAACAAACTGCAATATATATATATATATATATATATATATATTATATACACACACACAAATAAAATTAGCGTCCTAAACTATGGTGGTTATTATCTAAAATTTTTTCGATAAAGAAATGGAAAAATCGCCAATTTTCTTTTAAATAATGTGATTCATTCGATTCTTCTTAGATAAAAGAACATTTTGTTTACCAAATCAACTATAGAAAGAAGAATAATAATTAAAAAAAATAAGCATATGGTATATAAAATGTATGTATATATAGGTCCAAAAATTGGTTCAAGTAGTGTGTCCTATGACCATATAAAATTTTATCGAAATTGTTTTTTTGCGCCTCCTTTTTGGAATGGAAAGGGCATTATTTGAGGAAATAACCCCAAACACTCACCTAAGTTCGTGTGTGGATCCGACAAAGCAAATTAATAATATTGATCCTTATAGTTTCCAACTATATTATAAAAAGTATAATATATTATAAAAGTAACATTTATAAAAAAAAAACTATATTATAAAAGTAGCCGTTTGGAATACAATGAGAAGTTGTACCTTTCAATATCAGAAAAAAGAAAACCATGTTTGATTTGATTTGAGAAAATTTGATCAAACCCAAACGATTTTTCTTTTATCAATCTTAATTTTTGTAAAAAAAAAAACGTGCATTCTATTTTATATTTTATATAGATTTATTTTTTTATTAGAAATCATTCATATTTTTTTAAAAAAAACTTATATTTTTTCTTGGTAGTATTCAAAACGAGTTCTACAAATTTAATTTTAAAAATATTTCTAAATATCTTTTCCGTACAAATATTAATATATGTTATTCAATTGCATGTTCATTTTTTTTTAATCAGAAAATATCATTTGCTTGCTAGATTCGATTTTTATTATTAAAAAAAAAAATCCTAGATTAGCTGACAAACAAAATAATTCAACAAACCACCCAAAAAAAAAAAAAATCGAAACCCCCAAGAGGCTTGAGAACTTACATTTAACAAAATGCATAAACGATAGAAATATCAAATGAAACGTGGGATGATTCCTCGAGTGTATCGAAGCGTGAGCCATGACACCATATATTAATTTGACTATTTACCCCATCCATTACATATATACATACATATATATACATGGACTTTCTCCCCACATGGCTTTGATTTTATTTTATATATATATATATATATATATATATATATATATATTTATTTATTTATTTTAATTTACCAATAAACCTGTCCTGGTTAGATATAAAATCTTGGTCAAAGACATGACAAGCCCATGCAGTTATTCAAACAAAAGGTACCGCGGAGACAAGACAAGAGTATCTTCAAAACCCCCTTTTACTTTTCTTTTTCCTCAAGCTCCAAAATTAAAATGCAACTTCGATCTTTAATAACCAATAAATAAAATCTTTTTTTTTAAAATAAATTCAAAAGCAAAGAATTCGAAAGGGCAAAACGACGACGGGTTTAAGCTGAGCTATTAATCATCGAGGAAAACGACAAAACTGTGAGTTTTCTTCAACACTTTGCGATGAAGTCCATACAAGCAAGCAGGTAGCAATATTATGATTTATTACGCCATGATGACATCATGATGTGGCAGAAATTAAATTACCCAACAAAAAAATATGTACTTTTTTAAAAACGTTCTAAATTAATTATATTAATTGATATTAGGAAAAATATTTTGTTGATTGGATTGAATTGGATAATTTAATGAAAATATCATTTTTTATGTTTAAAAATAAAAATAAAATTATTTAAGTATATAGATATTTTAATTTAAATGTTAATTAAAATCCAATCGTTTTGACTGACTTCATAAATTAAATTGAGTCAAAAAAGGGACAAATTTCAAATTCAAAGTTTTTGAATTCAGGAAATTCTAAAAAACTCGATCCGTCTCGACAATCTATGTGGTTTTGGATCAGCCATGTTCATACCAGGATGATGAACCGACGAAATCGCACAACGAAACACAGTTTTTTCCACCAAAAAAAAAAAGAGAATTTGCGACCGGACTGAACCGAACCTTCAGATCTGCAAGAACACATCATCACGAGGTCGGCGGCGGCGGAGGATTCCGACAGAGAGCCGGAGAGACGAACAAGGAAGAAGACGAGCGGCGAATTCGAGATTCAGATTGAAAACTACACGTTACGAAGAAAGGACATCACGGTCCCCTCAGGAATTTTGCTTCATCCACACGTTTTCTCGCCGCTTCGAGCCTTCGTTCCTTCTCCGGTGTCCCTCCGCCGCAGATCCGTTTCGGGGTTTTCACACTGCGTCATTTATAGGGATTAGGGTTTTCAAGAGGAAGAACAAGGCTGGGCTTTGAGTTATTTGGGCCTATTTTTTAAACTTATTAAGCTGGGCTTCATCTAAAAGCCCAATAGTGTTTTTAATCGTATTCAAACCAACCCTAATGGATACAAATTCAAAACCAATCCTAATGTGTATTTCTGAATAAACACATCTGGAAATGGTACCGCTGTTAATAAAATATGATTTTGGGGGGTGCAACAAAGTGACACGTGTCGTAATTCTATAGGTCGGAACCTTATCCGATGTCGGAAAATGTAATCCTCCGTGTCTCAACCCAGAATCCGTCCAAATTCCACGAACCATTTCCATTAACAAATTCCGCCAACACCGAAACACAGCTTCAATTAAGAGCAAGATCCCAAAAAAGAAGCCCCCCTTGTTTCGGAAAAAACAAAAAGAAGTGAAACCTAAGAGTGATCGGGAATGGCGTCCCCGACCTGCTTCTTCCACCACAATGCGCTCGCCTCGCCGGTCGGCGCCGTCAGGACGTTTCAGCGCCACGTGTCGGCGATCCGGCCGTTTCAAGTGATTTGCCAGGCGACCCAGAAGCATGGGGACGAGGCGACGTCTGTGTCAAGGAGGTTAGCGGTCGGAATCATGATCGGAGCCGCCGCCGCAGCGTCCAAAGTCTCCCCCGCCGATGCCGCTTACGGCCAAGCCAGTAACTTTAATTTCACCTTTTCATTTTCTTGTGAATTTTCATGGTTCTTTAAATTTTATAATCCAATTAAGACCAGACATTGTAGTTCATCTAGAACCAAGGATGTAACAAAAGGGCGGGCGTGAATCTAACCGGTTTTCGGGTTTTGATTTAGATTGATGATTATGCTTGTTCTGTTTCTAAAATGGAAAAAAAAGAAAGGAGAATCACAATAAGGATATATTCATTTGATACTATATAGTTGTTAACTGTTCCAAGAATCAAGGTATATATCGGACAACAAGAACCATCCTGTAACTTATTTATGACAATCTTGATCGTAAATCCGTTAGGGTTTGCGTTTGAACGTTGAAACTGCGAAGGTTTTTGGGAAACCGAAGACGAACACGGACTATATACCAGTAGAAGGTGAAGGGTTCAAACTCAACGTGCCGTCGAAGTGGAACCCTAGCAAAGAAGAAGAGTATCCAGGACAAGTTCTCAGATACGAGGACAACTTCGATGCCAACAGTAATGTCAATGTCATGGTCAGTCACCGACACTGACAAGAAGTCCATCACTGACTATGGTTCCCCCGAACAGTTCCTTGCCAAGGTTCGTCTATATATAGACTCATGTGCGTATATATGTACTCGAGTAGATATATAAACTTCAGGGTTCAATGTAAAATCTGGGGTTTGTGATTAGATTAGGTCATCATGCTACATGCAGCTGAAGAAACGGTAACCATAATTAGTCTCTGTTTTCTGCTATTACAGTTTAACTATCTTCTCGGGAAGCAAGCTTATTTCGGTGAGACCGCCTCCGAGGTAATACCGAACTCTTCCCGGCCAAAACAGCGCTTGTATTTTCCCGACCATATCTGTGTACTGATTATGCCACTCTAGTTTGATGACGGGGAGGGTTTGATGCCAATGCGGTGGCGACGGCGACGGCCAACATTCTCGAGACGGGGACTCCGGTTGTGGAGGGGAAACAATACTATTTCCTGTCAGTGCTGACGAGGACGAGGGAGGGAAGCACCAGCTGATCACGGCGACCATGAAAGACGGCAAGCTCTACATCTGCAAGGTTCATGCCGGCGACAAGCGGTGGTTCAAGGGAGCTAGAAAATTTGTCGAGGGCACTGCCAGTTCTTTCAGAGTGGCTAAGTAAACCCCCCCCCCACTATCATTTCCATTTAGCAACAAATAAAATAAAAAACTAAAATGAGTTAACTGTAAACATGAAGAAAGGGAATGTTTTCGCAACCGATGAGAATGAAAACTTAGATCGAGTTGAGAGTATATGCGATGGTTTCTTCAATGTTGGTCGGTCCATATTTCATGCGTAAATTACGCGTATTGAACGTAACGAATAAGGAGAACGAGAAACGGTCAATGACGTCGGGAAGTAAGACAAAAAAAACATGCATGTGTATGTACACATGCATGCATGCATGCATTGATTTGGATCGGATTCTCATTTAAGAAGAAGCAATTTGTTTTGTGCAATGAATGCGTATACATGGACCACCCGAAATCTACCCCCTTGTGTGCATAAACAGCCAAACGAGAAGGAGAACATCACCTTTCGGTGGATGCTTCCGTCAATATCTGGTCCATCGTGTACACACATATATATATATATATATATGTATGTATTTGCCGTACAATAATAAAAAAGTTGTATAAATTATAAATTTATAATGCATAAAGGGGGGGGGGAATGTGGTAATAGAATTGCAGATTCCATAGTTTGAGCAGAATAACGAGTTGTGAAAGGAAATTTATTTGACTGAAAAAGAATTATTATTACAGGAAAAGAAAAATCAAATTTTGTATTAAATTATTCGGGTTGGATCGGAACATCCATTACACAATTGTTTTCGTTTTCACACGATGGAATGACGTAAATGCCCTTAATAATTGGTGCTTCTCCGCGGTTCCGATAAGGCATACAGATCACGAACCCACCACTAGAAACCAAGCAATAGATCTTCATAACAGCGGGTCCCACTAAGGCATCTTACTGTCCGCATAACTGCCACGTGTCGATCACGGATGCCCCCTACCTTCTGATGCGGTACTGTTGATCTCCCCGTCTCCCTCTCTCTCTCTCTCTCTCTCTCTCTCTCTCTCTCTCTCTCTCTCTGTAATCTCTCCTCTTTTCCCTCTTGTCGCTTTCTGTCCGAACCCCCCCGAAAGCATAGTAGTATTCTCTCTCTCTTTATGTCTGTTCAATTCCATGTCTGAAATATTTTCACAGTCTGGGTTCTTTAGAGAGAGAAAACAGGAGAGAGAGGAGAGAGAGAGTTCTGTTCTTTTTCGGCTGATCTCGTCTGGAGGAACAGATCAGGTGTGGATCTCTATCTCCTTCGCTTCTGATTCATCCAGCGGCTTCCAAATCCGGTCAGCCTTTTATAGTTTTTTAAAAATAATTTTTGTTATTATTTTTCCATAATTGGAATGGGTTTTTCCAACTAATTTAATCGAAATCTTCTGTTTCTTTCCCTCTAATGTTCCCTCCTCGGTTGCTGGAGTATTAAAAAAATGTTTTAGGTTGAAATCACTAATCAGTGCTTGTATTTAATCCTTTTTTTTAAAAGTGATTAGTGAAACATACAGGGGATTTATATATGCTAATTATTATAAAGTTGACTGCTTTCATCCTCCTCCCCCTCCATGGGGTCCTCTCTCGTATACACTAATCTTTCTGTGTAAAGCATAATTAGATGTCACCAATTAATCAACGCCATAATCATATGATCACTGATCGCTTTGCTTAATACTATATTGCTTTCTCATGCTTTGACTCTGTGTAGATCCGATCTGACATGGAAAACAGTCTTTCTGATTGGAACTTCGAGGACAGTTTCCACATGTCCACACACAAGAGATCTGTCCGGTATGTATATGTATATATGTATATGTATGTATGATATTTGATCTGAATCAATCTCTCTTGTCATTAAGCAATTAAGCGTCAGTCGATTTCTTTTACTGTATGTTGTATTTGCAGACCGGATGACGAACTAGTGGAGCTGCTTTGGAGGGATGGGCAGGTGGTTCTGCAGAGTCAGACACAGAGAGAACCACCGGTCCCGCGCCATCACAGACACGATCATCACCAAGAAACCCTAGCGAGAGCGGACGGTTCTTCCCGTGCAGATGCCTTTCTTGATGACCAAGAAACCGTTTCTTGGATCCACTGCCCTCCCGACGATCCCTTCGAGAACGAATTCTCCTCCGATCTCTTCTCCGCAATCCCGCAGTTCTGCCCGGAGAGGCCGAGCTTGGGAGCTTTTCGTGAAGGACCGTGCAAAAACGAGGTGGGTCTCGACCCTCGAGCCATGCCTCCTCCCAAATTCACGTTCTCGGACACAAAAGATGCGACGTTTGGAGAATTCGGCAAGGAGTCTTCGGTTATGACCGTCGGGCCAAGCCATTGCGGCAGCAACCAGTTGCAGAATGATGTCGACGTCACTACGGCTACTGCCACGGGATTATCTGTCGGATCACTGAAGGGTGTCAATGGAGGAAACTACGTTTCCACGAGTGATAGAAGCAAAAACGACGGTACCCTCGACCCGAATGGTACTTCCTCGTCCGGTGGCTCTTCTGGTTGTAGCTTTAAGGAAACCGCAAGTGGAATCATCAGTCTCCGTAAGAGAAAACAGATCATGGAAACTGAAGAATCTGTGTCTCAGTCCAATGTATGCAATGTTCATGGATCTAAACACGCTTTCTTGCGCTTGTTTCGTCGTTCAAAGATCTTAACAACGAATGTTTTCCCTGCGTTAATGATGTTTCATTCAGGCAACGGGAAACAAGTCGAGCCAACGGTCAGGATCAACCCGAAGGAGCCGTGCAGCCGAAGTTCATAATCTCTCAGAAAGAGTATATATACCTCGTTGTTTCCTCGATGATTTATGTTTTTTCAGATCGTGTTCTAAGAAGAGAATGTTAAACGAAATCCCTTTGTTCGAACGGTACAGAAACGCAGAGATCGGATCAACGAGAGGATGAGAGCATTGCAAGAACTGATACCTCATTGCAGCAAAGTAGGTGCCATGGAAATTCAGAACCCATCAAACCAAAAACACGATCATGTGAAGGAAGATTTATGTTTATGTTTTTGCAAATGCAGACAGATAAAGCTTCGATTTTGGACGAAGCCATAGATTATCTGAAGTCACTTCAGTTACAGCTCCAAGTAATGTGGATGGGAAGTGGAATGGCGGCGAATCAAATGATGTTTCAGGGAATGCAGCCACCGTACCTTCCCCGTATGGGAATGCAAATGCCTTCTTCGTTTCAGAACCCAATGCACTTGCCCCGGTTCCCGGTTATGGACCGGTCCACTTCTCAAAATCCTGGTTTGGTTTGCCAAAACCCGGTTCAGTACCAGAACCAGGTCTTCTCCGAGCAGCTCGCGAGGTACATCGCCGGTTTTCCGCAGATGCAACCCTCTTCTCAGGTCTGAGAATCGACTAATTTCTCTAAAACAAGGATGTTTACGTGATTTTTTGAGGAAAAAGTTGCTTGATTTCTGACTTTCGTTGGTGTTTAAATCGAACCGGTTATTGCAGAACACGAACACGATGAGATTCGGTTCTCCGACCGTACAGCAAAACCAAGTTCCGGCGCCGGAGCCCACCGGCACTCTTCCCTCGAACCGGTAGACAGGTGAAGGGAAATGATGTTACCGACATTTTTTTTGTCAACTTATTATATATTATTTTTTTAAAAAACCCAACCATGTATTGTAGGTTTGGAACATTAGGACATACAGTTATTTAAGTTAGATGAATCGTATTATGTGTATTTATAACCATTTTGATATTCTTTTTTTTCTATGATGATCTGGATTATTGGTCTATTGTCGTATGCCAGCCCACGATTATTTTGAAATTTAAAAAAAAATGTATTTAAGTTTTGGGGGACTAAATTCCAAATTTGTTTGGGCCACATTAGACCCATGTTAAATGGGCTTAATTGGGCCTGAATTAATATTTAACTATTAATAATGGGCTTTTTAATTTGTATATATGAAAATTGTGTATTTTATGAAAAGGGTAAACTTCCTAAAAATTCCCCTAACTGGAAAACTAATTCCTCAACTTGCAGCCTAGAAAAATAATTCCTCAATTTACAAATCTTACCATTAAAATACCTGAACTTGTAAATCATTACCAATTAAATTTTTTACCAACGTTTTACGGTCACTTCCGTTAAATATCATCTTATGTGGCATTCATACTTCATATTCTAATTCTATGTTATAATTAATTGTCACATAATCAATTTTTAAATTAAATAATAGAAAAAATTAAATCGATAAATAAAAATTATGAACCGATATGTTAAAAATATATATTAATTTGAACCTATTTGTTTTTAAGATTTTCTGGGTTATTCGGATCTATTAGAAAACGTGGGTTTGAATTTGATATAAATGATTTAATTTTTTTGTTTTCAAATAAAGATAGGTTATTTTCTAAAAGACAATTTAACAGTCTAGAAAATAACACATCTTTATTTGAAAACAAAAAAAAAATTAAACCATTTATATCAAATTCAAACCCAGGTTGTCTAACCGCTTCGAATAACCCAAAGAATTTTAAAAACAAATAGGTTCAAATTAATATATTTTTCAACATATCGGTTCACCAGATCGGTTCATAATTTTTATTTATCGATTTAATTTTTTCCATTATTTAATTCAAATATTGATTATGTGACAATTAATTATAACGTATAATATATTCTAAAATACCACATAAGAGGATATTTAAAGGAAATGACGGTAAACCTTTGACAAAATTTTAATTGGTAATGATTTACAAGTTCAATTATTCTAATGGTAATATTTGCAAATTGAGGAATTATTTTTCTAGGCTACAAATTGAGGAATTAGTTTTCCAATACTTTGCAAGTTGAAGAATTTTTAGGGAATTTACCCTTTATGAAAATCTTAATACTACCCCATAACATCAATCTTGTTCGGTGGCTTGTCGAACATCAACAATAATTGTAAAATGTTTACACACACATACATGACACGTGCGAAATGCAAAATTAATATTAGAATAATTAAATTCCGAAATTCTGAATACATGGATTCATCAAGATAACATGCAAATATTGGCCAATAACATTTTAATTCATTAAAATTTGAATAGTTTCACCGATAAAAATCGCCTTAAATTCGAATTTCAGATCTAGAAAAAGATTCTCATCATATGGCTGTTTTTCGGTTTTGACTTCTGAGATGAATCCGAATTATAAAAAAAAACATTTTAATTCGAAGAAATTAAATGCATGGAATGCTGCTGACGTGGTAAAATACGGACCATTCGATATGATATAAAAATCTTATCTCTTTTGTCATGGTATTGGCTTTTTCCTCGACTGTATCAGTGGTAGATTTTTTGTTTAACATATGGGTTTCGTCATCACAATTAAATAAAATAAAAATAATGGATCTGTCATTTTACTGGGCCACCCCGCTTGATAAGCTGGGCCACTTATCAGAGTCGGTTAAAAAAAAAAACACGTGACACTCGATTTTCTTTACCCTGATTTTGCTGCTCCGCTTTTATCTTGTCGGTCATAATATAAGGTAATTTTTATTTTATTTTATATTGTTAGGTAACCAACTTTTTTGTTTCTATTTTTTATATAATATATCAGATAAAAATAAAATAAAAATTGTACGATAACATATAGAGTATGCGAATCGTTAAATCTAAATTCATAGAATTTGGCTAAAAATCTAAAACAGAATGTTGTTTTCGAAAGCATAAAAAGAGAATATAGTTTTCAAAATATAGTAACATATTCAATATTAATTTTCCATAAAAGTAATCTATACTATTTTTTTTTCACAAGCAATTTATACGAATCAGGAGTTTTTATAAGGACGTACCTAATTAATTCAAGAGGTAACAGAAAAATCTCGGCAAAAAACTCCAGCGTTTAGACAGTACTACGTCAGCGTTTTCCAGTCATTGTCCAATACGTTGACGCCACGAAACGGAAAACGCAAACGCGATTCACTTCTTTGCATACGCCTCGTGGCGAACTGAAACGCCTTCCCTTGGGAGTTGTGATTCTCTTTCCGCGTCAAAAATTGACGAATATACCCTCGAAAAGTAGAGCGAGTGTGTAATTTTACGTACTCGAGCGCGTAGATGTAGGTTTCCTTCAATGAAATTGGGACTCGAGCGTCTATATAAGCGACCTACCGTCAAGTGTTAGGCCTCAAAAACGCAAGAGCTCGGGAGAAGAAAAAAGCGTTTCCTTTTCTCTCTCTAGAATTTTCTTTTTCTTCACCTTCTCTCTATCTTCTGCCTGAAGAGTCCGATCTCTCTGTCCGCTTTGGATCTGATCCTATTGTTCGCCGGAATTCCGCCGCCGATCTCTTCCGAATTATTATTACAGGAAAAGAAAAATCAAATTTTGTATTAAATTATTCGGGTTGGATCGGAACATCCATTACACAATTGAGAGAGCGTAATCCGGAAGAAAAGAGGAATCGCATGAGTTTGTTTGGGATCCTAGGTTATCCTTCTTCGAATTCGAACCACTTTACGACGTGTCTTCTGATCTACATCCTTCATTTTTCTCCCCAGTTACCGATTTCTCTCTTTCAATTCGAGCAGAAATCGTTAGATCCGTCATCGATTAATAGTAGCGGTGATAATAATTTTAATAATCTACCGAGTAATCGTCTGATTAATCGCCGATCGTTGTTGAATCATGGAGTCGGGAGGCAAGAGTAATCGCCAACTGCGTACAGGTATGATCTTCCTCCACAATTTATTTCAATCTTTCTATCGCTTAGATTGAGATTCTGTTCAAATTGTTTTACCCATTCCCATTAAAAAAGGATTTTTTTCGTTTCGTCTGTGATCTCCTTTTGTCGGCGATCGTTTTCTGGGTTATTTTCCACAGGTCGGTCTGTCTTATTGTTGTCGTCTGCTTCATTACTTCTAGAACGTATGAAAGACGAAAATTTTGTTTCACAGTCGAGTTTTGGGCTTACAAAGGGAAGTTTGTCTGGTGGTTTTCTTATACTGTGTTTTGCAGCTGTTTGCTTCTCAACTGGCCAGAGGATGAAGTCAAGGTCACCTTCCGTGATCGTCATCGGAGGTGGTTTTGCGGGAATTACTGCTGCTCGGACTCTTCAAGATGCCTCCTTTCAGGTTTGTGGCTTAAGTAATAAACTCTCTATGTTATTCTGCGAGGATGGAGTAGGAATTTGATTGTTACGTTCTCGAGTTTTCATGATCTTTTCCTGACTTCTCGCCTTCTCGTTCGCTGTGTTCATTGTTAGGTCGTTGTTCTGGAGTCACGAGATCGCATTGGTGGGCGAGTTCATACCGATTACTCGTTTGGTTTTCCTGTTGATCTTGGTGCATCTTGGTAGATCACTTGTCTCCAACTTTTCTTTGTCCATGACTGATGTCTGCATGTCTTATTAGTGGTACTGATAGAGCGATATTGTTGTCACATCACAGGTTGCATGGTGTATGCAAGGAGAATCCTCTCGCACCATTGATTGGAAGACTTGGCTTGCCCTTGTACCGCACCAGTGGTGATGATTCTGTCCTGTACGATCACGATCTTGAGAGGTGTGTATGAATATGAGTATATTGCTTTCCATTGTTCTTGTTGTTTCCTTCTTTGATACCTCAACTAGTATACTGTACTTGATCTTGATCAGCTGTTATCTTTACCCTTGCCCGTTGCTTATGTTTTATGTTTTCCTCAGCGAGTTAACCTTGTAATGGTGAATCCTTTTCTGCAGTTACGCTTTGTTTGATATGGATGGCAACCAAGTTCCTCAAGAGCTGGTTACGAAGGTTGGCAAAACGTTTGAGTGCATTTTGGAAGAGGTAAGCTTTACATATTCAATTGTTCCTTACCTTTTCTTTTCCGATTCCTTTCTATATTTTCTGTGTGCATCAATGCATCTTCGTTTTATGTTTGCAGATCAATAAAGTTAGAGAGGAGCAAACGGAAGACATGTCGATATCTCGAGCCTTTGCAATTGTATTTGAGAGGAGGCCTGATTTGAGGTTTGGAGGCGTAACACATCTCAATTGGTTGGATTTTATAATCTTTGCACCTTTCATATTGGTTTTATGACCAATCGGGTTTTGTTACAGGTTGGAGGGGCTTGGCCATGATGTGCTTCAATGGTATTTGTGCCGGATGGAAGGGTGGTTTGCTGCTGACTCTGAAACAATCTCGGCAAAGTGCTGGGACCAGGTCAGTAGTCCATTTATAATCTAAGATGTCTTATAAAATCCAAAACTTATGTGGCTGTCTCAGTAGTTGACGGGGCATAATCGCGTTATATTTGGTTAATCTTGCAGGAAGTATTGCTGCCTGGTGGACATGGTCTCATGGTTAGAGGGTATCGTCCTGTCATCAACACTCTTGCCAGAGGTCTCGATATCCGTCTTGGCCACAGGTACGACGAGTTGATGAATGTCTTGGAATATCTGTGTTAAAACTCGGCTTTTATCTCGCTCGGCTCGTAATCATATGCTTGTTTTTGCAGGGTTGTCAAGGTCGTGAGGGGGCACCATGGAGTGAAGGTGACCACAGAAAAGGGTGACACTTTTGTCGCGGATGCAGCTGTTATCGCCGTTCCACTCGGAGTCCTGAAGGCTGGGATCATAAAATTCGAACCGAGGCTTCCGGACTGGAAGCAAGAAGCCATCAACGATCTCGGGGTGGGGATTGAGAACAAGATCGTGTTGCACTTTGACAAGGTATTCTGGCCGAACGTAGAGTTTCTAGGAGTGGTAGCGGAGACATCATACGGGTGCAGCTATTTTTTGAACCTGCACAAGGCGACGGCTCATCCCGTGCTGGTGTACATGCCGGCGGGGCAGCTGGCCAAAGACATCGAGAAGATGCCTGATGAAGCGGCTGCTGATTTTGCATTCACGCAACTGAAGAAGATCCTTCCGGACGTGTCTCCGCCCGTGCAGTATCTGGTGTCGAGGTGGGGAACCGACGTGAACTCGCTCGGGTCGTACAGCTACGACATTGTGGGGAAGCCGCACGATCTGTACGAACGGCTGAGGGTGCCGGTGGACAACGTGTTCTTTGCGGGGGAGGCGACGAGCATGAGCTACCCCGGCTCGGTGCACGGAGCATTCTCGACGGGAGTGATGGCGGCCGAAGACTGCAGGATGCGGGTCCTGGAGCGTTATGGCGAGCTCGATCTCTTCCATCCCGTCCTGGGCGAGGACGCTTCCTCCGTATCCGTCCCCCTCCTCATCTCCCGTCTCTAAAAGACAACAGATTAATACCATCGCCATTAGCGAAAAACAAGATCGGTGTTTACGTTGGTTATTATTATCCGTTTGGTGTGTAAAAGACTCGCTCTTACATATTATATATATATATGTATATGTAACGTTTGCTAATATTTCCATATACTCATATTATTATTCTGTGATAATGAAGGGAAAAGATCCTTGATGGTTAACGGGACGATTTCTTTTTTCCTTTTAAAGATTGTACTTAGATAAATCAACAAAATCAATATAATATTATATATGTATGCAACGGCATGCCCCATCCCCACTCGAAGACGAACCAAAAAAAAACCTTTCTCTCTGCTGTGCGATATGACTTTTGTTCCAGTGTTCGTCGTTATTTTTTTCAAATCATACGGACATCCTCGAAGCCGTCCGTGTTCCGTTGTCTGGGACAGCTTCTTGTCGAGACGACGTAATTTTAAGTGCCCACCAGGGGTGTTTCCGTCAATTCACCCCGTACTGACCTGCCTTGTCATATTATTATTTTTTTCTTGATTTTCCCTCACTTGAATTTCCCCTCTTATTTCGTTTCGTAAATATCCATTCAGAAGGATAAGAAAGTCCATAGATTGATACATCTATCATGAAACAGTTATTTTGTCTGAAAAAATAAAAACTTGAATTCCTTCTCTTATTTCCCCTCTTACTTCTCATGCAACCGAAGGAGCGATCTTTAGGCCCATTTAGAAGGCCCATTAACATTTGAAAGCCCATTAGTCCCAGTCAAGGAATCTACGAAAATGCCATCAGCTCTCCCCTCTCTCTCTCTCTCTCTCTCTCTCTTCCTCT